CAATAATAATTAATTGAAAATTTAGTTCATTTCAGGCCCGTGTGACTTTGGTTACTTAGAGTGTCTGAAAAGGCACAGGAATCGAGTGTCAATTAAATCCCACCCATGTTATCTTGAAACATAGTATCACCTTCAGCAGAGTGTTGTTAGAAAAAAAAGTAATTGACTTTTTATGACTATGGACAGAAATTTATAAGCATATTTATGATAACCATGCAAACATTATAGGACTAATGTAAATAGCCGGATATATATTTAACTGCCTATTTATGTGCAAACTTCCTAAGGAGTGGTACACCTGCAGGCTTTATTTTATTTGGATATTAATGTTTTAATGCTATTATGTTATCTGTCTGAATACCACAGAGGTCCAACTTATTCTCTGTGTTCTTTAAACAAGCAAATAAATATCAGGAACATGAATGGCTCAGACTCGACATCTGGCAAACAATGAAGGTCTTTCTTCTGGGGAAATAGGCAAAGAATTAACTACAAATGACAATTAATTGTGAAATTAGTGGCTTTGAAATATTATTTTTTAATATAAGTTCATAAAATTTCCCATAATGGGTAACATTAATAGTCTTTTTCTTTCTCTCATGTCTATTTCTCACTTGTACAACCAGAAGCTACAGAGGGCAAAGACAGCCTTGGGAAAACATACCCACAAGTAAAATGCCATCACACCAAGTTTAGCTCTTAGCTTGAAACATGAATGATGCTTAACGTACTTTTACAATAAATTTTATTACTGGTGGAAATTGTCTTTAATTTTCATGAGCAACAGGCCCTTCAGAAGAACTATAAATGTGCAAAATGGTCTAGTTTTGTAAAGACAATAGAGTAACATTACCAAAAAAGTTATTTAAAATTTTATGTGTGACTTTATAAAAAAAATATTGTTTTGTAGGGTCATTATTTCACTTATTTTTGTTAATAATTTAGTTTTTAATTTAATTTTAATTTAGTTTTAATATAATTTAGTTTTAATAAATTGCAGCAAATAGTAAATGAGTGCAGTTCTGGGTGGTCTTGGGAAAGACAAACGACTTCAAAGGAGATGTGCCTCTTTCTTCTGACAGCAGGTGTATTTAACTTGTATTTGACATGGCTTTAACTATTCACAGTTGTGCTGTGTCTCTGCTGTAAATGTGATGCATTAGGCCATTGCATGGAGTACATAGGTATTTAATCCGTGTGAAATAAGGTCAGATTAACACTTTAAAATACTATATTAATTTTATTTGTAAGAATTTTAGTATCTAAATATTTAAGGATATGGTATTTTTTGATCAGCTTCCTTAAACCATATTTGCCAAAAAAAATGGTATGAAGTATTTAATATTATTTAGAACAACAGATGTTTGGTGGAAACTCATGTTGTAATGTATATTAGAAAAACATACAGAAATTTCTTCTTACATCATTTATGTTTTATGAACAACTGCAGTTCATATATATGAATTTTACTTTGGTAACTTTAGAGCAGGTGCTGAATTTGACATAAATATTTTGAAAAATAAAGTTTGCAAAAAAAGATACTCTGTTTCAGTGGGAGGGAAGAAGGAAAATTGTTGCTTCTTTATCTGCAACCTACTCAAAAATACTAAAATCAGAGTGAATACCACCAGTCTTGCAGGTCATTTCCTGTTATATGATTTTATTTCATTAACATGAATATAACATGAGACAATCTTGTTTGTTGTCCACATTGTGTCTAGCTTCATCCATGTTAAATGAAGACTCGGAACCATTCAGTTACCCAACCCTATAGTGATTCAACCACCTCACTTATTAAATATGGTTTCTCCTGATCTTTTAAAGTTTTCTAAATTATAAGGTCATTTGCTTTGATTTTCATGTGTAAACAGATTTTTTATCTGTCCATGGTCAATAGCCGCATATTTTTTTGCATTTATAAAGACAGCAATTGAAATAAATCAATAATTGATTCTCCAGAGCAAAAGCACATGTGGAAAGACCTGTCATTATAAAATAATATTTTATATATTCAGTAATTCTGTTTGTATGCAATGAATAATTTGTCAAAATGTTGCTGCACTGGTGTTCTGTGAGAAAAATTGAAACTTCAAAAATAGGTAAATAGCAATTAGTTATATTGATGATGGATGATGTTAAAAGTATTGAAACTTAATTCTAACATTCTCTGACAAATTAAATACCTGTTTTCACTTTGTGCATTCGTATCTGATCCATATGCTCCTAGCATGTTAACATGGGCAAAAGAAAAAGTGACAGAGATGATTTTGGTTTGGCCTAGGAGAAGAGAAAAAGAAAACTAATGGTAGTAAGTGGAAGTAAAAGAAAAAGCTTTAAATAGCTTGGGACCTAATTTCTTGAGAGACTACAGCATCATGTTTGACACCAGAAGTAATTGGCAAACACAAGTCCATCTGCTTTATGTGACCAGGGAATAGTGTTGAGTGGGACCTTGGGATTACGTATTTGCAGCCTACTAGTTCTACAAGTTTGATGAAGATGAGCTCTGTCACAGGTTCTCAAGGTGACATTAGGATTTTCAGAGAAATGAAGAGACTCTTATTGCACTTCTGTTGAGCCCTTTTCAACAAGATTTAATGAATATTCTGACAGTATGATGTATGTCATATCCTTCTGTTGTGTTGAACGTTGCACATTTCTTTGTTCCTGATTGCTTCCTGTTTATTAGTAATGATGTTATGTGCAGTTTGGTGTACAAAGATAGATGTCATCAATCAGGACAGTGAAGGAAAAAATATTAAATGCAGTAAGACTGATTTGAGATTTTAGAAGAATCTTCACAAAGAGTAGTACTGTGATGTAAAGTGAATATACATTTACTATTCTTAATTGGACAATGGTCATTTTAGTAAAATATGCACTACTTTATTTTGTCCATGGAAGTGATATCTTTCTGGGTGTCTTATGGATCCTCAAGCTGCAATGTGATTTCTTTCCCTTCTTTCTTCGAAACATCTAGACTAAAACTAGGTTTTGTTGTGCTGTGCTTTTTGGTTATAGAGATAACCACATTTCTTTGAATTTTGCAGGAAAATTGTAGGAAAACTGGGCCACCATGCACTGCTATTTAATTGATGACTCAAGTAATTCAGTTTATACATGAGGCCCATAAGCTTTTTAGAAAGCAGTTGGGAATATTAATGTAGCTGCAGTTTATCATGTGATAAAAGCAAATTAATTATCTACTGTTTATAGAGCTAATCCCAGATAAATAGCAGAATAACTTCCACCGTGTTAAATACACCTAACCTAGGATGAGGAAAGATGAAGGACAGTTGGATTGAAGAATATCCTCACTTATTTTGAGATAATTTCCAGCAGTTTCAAGGGAAGCTGCATATGTGAATAGAGCTTAATTTCTTTAATGAATTTAACCAGCCCATTTAGTTACTACATGATCAGTTAAGTGGAATAGATAGTTATCCTGGACTACTCATTTCCCTAATCACTATACTTTTACCAAAAATAACACAGAGGTAGGAGAACAGATGTAACCAGCACTTATAGTGACTTGAATGAAATGCAGTATTATTGTGTATTATATATGTAAATATACATAAATGCAATATTAATACTATAAATATGATTTATTTGTATGTTATATATAATGTAGCAATGATATATGTATAGCACTAACAACTTTTAGATGATACAAACCAAGGTTAGGAGATGAAACTCAAAGCACAATACTAAATTTAAATCAAAACCACAAACCATTTGAATTCAGAGAATTTTAGATAGGAACTTGTCAAAATTAGAATATTTTGGCATTTTTTACCTAATGCTCTTCTGAGATTTGGTTTCAGTAGTCCTTGGTCTTAAATTATATTAATCATTACTCAAAATAATGATTCTTGAATGAGAAAATTCAGCAGAATTAATAAAAGTAGGATGGTATATGTTCTTTTAGAATATACCTCTAGCAGACATCTGTCTGAAATAGAATAAACTTGATTATCCACTTATTATTAATTAAAACCTTTCCAAAACTTTTGAATACTGACCAATTTTTCTAGAAAATACAGAAGATGCACCTTCATTCATTCCTGCTATAATTTTATGGTAAAAACATCTTGTATGCCATAACTGACTTGGAAGAATTGCTTTAGTCTCCTTATGGGTTAGTGTGATCATTACAAGAATATACAAATATGTATTTATGCTCATTTTTACTCTCTTATTTGACTGCATGTGTTGTTTTCAAGGCAAGAAAATAAACATATGGGGCAGAGAAGAAGCTTACATCTAGTGATTGAGTCTAGAGTTAAGAAGCTTCTCGGAACTCAAGAGGCTTCATCTGTTGTTCATGCACTTTCTTATTTGAGAACATCTTTGGGATTTTTGATTATTTTACTGTAACTGTGTTACAATTTTGATTCATTCCTACTGCAACAGCCTCAGAAGCTGGGATTGCTGCTGTTCTAACTTAATCTTCTGTTGCATACAGACCATAGGCTCTGGCTTCATCCTTTGTTTTGTGTAGACAATAGGCTTCAGTGTTAGTAACATAAGACTTTTATTAATTATATTATTAACACATATTAATGATAATATTACTAATTAAATATTAATAATATTATGCTCATATGTTCTGCTGTGTCAAAACTGAAAATAGGAAATTCTTCTACCATCTATAGTTAATAAATTCTTAGGAGGAATGTATTTTGTTATCTATAACCATTGACAAGTTTCCCTGGATTTTGCATTGAATTTCATCACATACTTGTTGATCTGTGAAAATGGAGTCACAAAAAAATTACCTTAGCAATAGACAAGTTATGTGCTAAAATGGATACATTTGACAATTTTTTGAGGATAAACTCTTAAGTAAAGAGTTTAAGAGTATAAGTAAAGTCCTTATAATAAAATGCACTAACATTATGGAAAGTAATGGGAGTTTTTAACTTCTGAGTAACAACACTCGCGTAACCTGGTGTTCTTTATTTGCAGCTATACACATCCCTTCAGCTAGCATGCCCCATTGTACCTTCATGGAATGAGCTGTACACCTTCTAATGGGTGCCAAAGGTATGTGGGTTAACAGTTTAACAGACATATTGCAAATAGTACCTAGCAGCAATCTGCATTCTAGTATTTTTTTATGCTAATATGCTTTTAACTTTGCCACATTTTAGAGGGTTTTTGAATGTTCCATAAACATAAATATTATTTAAATAGTGCAAACAGTCTTTGTTGGATGACAAAAGCAGGAAATGAAAAACTGTTGTGTGAGTTTATTATTGCCCTTCTACATTGTCATATAAGAATTTTCAATGTCATTTTTAAATGCTTTTCTTGTCAGTTTAACTCAGACCTATAATCTTATTTAAATGTCGCCTTTGTGTTGTTTCAATTTCTGAACTGTAACAGAATTAATGACTAAGGACACATTTTGCACAAATAAGGAAAAAATTAAAAATTTTGGGGCACTATCAGTCTTAATATTTTTTTCTCCATGGAGGAGGCAGTGATTGATGACACTACTACACATACTTATAGCAATTCCTCTTATACTGAAAGAAAATATGTTTCTTCTCATATTAACTGTTTCATTTTCTAATTAGGATGCTAACACCTGTGTCCCCTGTGTGTTCTTCCTCTTTGCACTGTTCAATCTAGGTCATATTTTCTGTACCTTTCTGTATGGCTCAGTAAGAATTAGACAAGGTTAGAATCATTGATAGACTAAAATACCTGGAAATAATGTTATAGTTATTAAGCTTATAGCTGTGAATATTCTGCGAGGATTTGCATTTAAACTCTGATATCAAGCTAAGGAGTGTTAACTCACTTGTAACCATTACTACTCTAATGAAATATTTCTGTTCTGATCTTGCCAATAGTGCATTAGATGATAGAATTTTACCTATGTGTATGATTCTATGAGGAACAACAAAGATGGATAAAAATAATAATCAGTCTCTGCTTTATTTGAAGAGCCACAATTTTGCAAATCTCAAAATATCTTTCATAAAATCTTCCCTTTGCTCTCATTAAAATAAGTATTTATTTGAGAATCCAAGTGTTTCATAAAATATCTAATACTGTCCGTTATATGCAGATAAAACTAACAAGCAAATTCAGCTGATGGAAAGCATTTCTGCAAGATTCTGGCTTCAGAAACAAACGGGTGAGTTAACAAAGAAACCGAATCACTTTGTGGTTCAGTTACTAAAATTTAGGACAAACTTCTGCAGTAGCACTTCTGTGCCTCCTTGATCTCATGGGAAAGAAGGGACTAGCACTGAGTCTCTTGTGTTAGCCATCTCCACAGAGAGAAGTAGGAACTTTTCTACTAAAAAAAATATTTCTAGCACCTCTCTGGAAAGACTGTTTGGATTCCTTCCCTTGGAAAGGGATTGTTCTAGCTTGGAAAAGGGACAGAGGAAGGATATTATAAAATGTGTTCAAAACTGATTAAGAAAAGAATTGTACCTGCGGTAGGCAGGAAAATAAGTAATAGGCTCAAAGAGAAGCAAGTGACCTTTATGTTAGACAAAAACCATAACAGCTTCCTCACTAACGGTTGTAAGGCATTCGGTTCAGTAAAGTTTTTATGACTAAGCTATGCTGTTCTTTATTACTGGTATGTCAATACACTTTAAGATGCCTTAAAATGGGAGAAGTTGGAACAAAACCCACCACCACAAATTGCTTAATTACACTGGATGATAGTGGATGCTGCCTCTCTTAAACTCACAGGAAGTCCTATATTGGAAAGTTAACTGGCAATCATCTGGTCCAATACTTTGCTCGGAGCAGGGGATTCAGGGTCCTGTCAAGCCAAGTCTTGAATAATTCCTGCAGTGGATTTTGCACCACTGTTTTACTTTGGTCACCCTATTGCAATGTTTAGTTAATGTCCCAGTGAAGTTTGGTTTTCTTATATCTGAACAGAGTTTCTCATAAATTAATTTGTACTCGTTGCCTCATCCTTGTGGAAAGAGAATCTCCATCTTCTGTATAAATGTTTTTTATGTTTTCAAAGTCAATGATTAGATTCCCCTCTCTTCTCCCCATTATTTCTATTTTAGAGATTCCTTGAAGTTTTGAAATTTTGGGCACATCAGACTGTAGCTCTCAAATAAGCCCAACCTCTTTTTTTTTTCTTCTGAGATTACTTTCTAGATTAGCCTTATGCTTAAAACAAAAACATCCCCTTATCCTCCTCCTCAAAAAAGTAGGAAAAAGTAAAGCACCAAAACCAAAACAAATAAAAAACAAACAAACAAACAAAAATAACTGGGGACAAATGGGCACATATCGTGTGAGCCCATCCCTATTTTTTTCAAATGCCAGAACTCTCATCTGCAAAACTACAAGATGTAGTTATAGATTTTTCAGTCTGGTCAGTCTTGAGTTGAGACTTTACAGCAGAACACCTCTGGCTCACTGAATATCCTTGTGTTTAAGCACTTTCTAGGGTACTTATCATTACTATTATCATATTATCGTTAGTGACGGAGAGAAATATTACAGGCTACAGCCTGAAACGCAAAGGCATCTTCCACAGGAGTGTGGAAGAGAGTAATGCAAGAGATTCTAATGCATGTAACAATTCAATAATAATCTAAGAATGAAGCATTTTTTTTATAATAAAAAGCTTGTGTGCTCTGATACACATTTCTGTTATATTCTAGATCTGCTTTTTTGTATATAAGTAAAAAAAAAAAAAAAGCGAGCGGGGAGAAGAAACCCTTAACCTTGAGTGCTGTTCACAGGTTAAATGGAATATTAAGAAACATATAGATGAGGGTCTTAGGGGCATGTTTTAGCAGACATGATGGTGATAGGTTTACATCTGGACTTGATGATCTTGAAGGTCTTTTCCAACTATGATGATTCTATGATTCTATAATACAGTTTAGCTATAACTATATCTAAATACATTTATCTCTCAAAGCATGACTGTGATTCCTGACCAGTTTTAAAATGATGTGATTCAGTCAAATTTCAGTCAAATAACTTGCATCCAATATCAGAAGGGACTCCCACTGAAACTTTTTTAAGTAGTAGGTTTAACTATTCAGTTAAGTAAGAATTTCTGTAAGAATTTAAGGAGCATAGCAGAGATAATATTTATCAGATTATTTAAAATATACAAAGTTGGTTGACTGATAAAAAAACTGTTTTTACTATCTGATGCACCACCGCAGTAGTGAGTGCTGCATATCCCTCAATTGATATGCAAACTGGTTCTACAAAATGAGTGTGTTATGAGTTGTAGTTCCTAGCCTTCAATACTGAAGAATCAGTGAACAGAAGTGACCTTAAATCTGTTTTCATAAACAATTGTAACTATATTCATCTTCAAGGCTATTCTAAACTGTACTTAGGCATAAGGAACTAAAATCTGCTCTTTAGCTGGAAAGCCAGAAGGGCAGGCTTTCTTCAGTCTCACTTTAACTCTAGCTGAACTGCCACAACCCTTGACATTTCAAATGCACTGAATATTTTATTATTCCATTCCTATGGATATGTTTTGTTTAGAGATAACCCAAAGCAGCAGATCCAGAAATAGAAGAGTTTTGTTTTATTTTAAAGTTGACTTACTGTGTCACACTTCATTTGTCATGCTATTCGATGTCTCGTAAACAACCAAATACAATGATATGCTCCATAAAATATGAGTTATGCCTCCAAAACTTTATACAGGTTGTTTCCATTTCTAATGGTAGTACATGTACATGGCATTCCTTATATTCAGATGGTGGATCTTTGTTTATAATTTCTGAGACTAGATAACAGGGGAGCTGAAGTTGCTATCCAAGACATTTGGTACATGTGCATTCTGTTTCTTGAAGAAACAGAACAGGTAGTAATTTGTCATTCTAAACTATTCAATTTTGTTGTTTTGATTGCTCTGGTTGCTAAATTTTAACTCATTTTAAAACAAGAGGTGAATGTGGATTTTTCAGTTAGTTAATACCTAGCATTTATGAAAGGCAAGCTACTTGACTTGTGTCACAAGCTTTTGTACTCAGATTTGCTAACTATTTGTGATAATTTGAAGCCTTTATATGTGAAATACAGCTTAGGAAGGCAACTCATCATGCAGCATCTTGGGCAGAAGCAAAAAAAATCTCCAAATGTTTGCACATAGATAGTGTTTGCACCTGTAGTGCAAATCCTACTTTTCATGCAATTTCAGGTGCATATGAAACTAGTATAGCAGCATAGTTTTACAAATGCAGTTAGGTTCTCCTTCACCTGAAAATTTCAGGACTGGAAAGATCCATGGTTCTTATTTTATTGAATAAGAGAAATAGACATTTTTAAGGGCCAGACAAGGAAAAAAAAAATAAAATCTCAAGCTCTTTCACATCAGTGGATTCTTTTCCCTTGATTTCAGTAAATTTTGAACCAAGTTTTAAGGGAAGTGGGAAATGGGTGATGAATGTATTGGCATATATGTTAATCTTACTTAAACACTATAGATTACATTATTGTGAGACAGCCAAGCTATAATTACATCAATAATAAATGTCTACATATTTGCTGTCATTTTTATAGATGTTTCATTCACTTAAAAAACAAGCCCACAATGTTGTGTTTGCTTTAGTATACAGGATATTTGAGTGATTAAGAAGTGTATTTATATTCATTGTTCCCTCTAAAGGGGCCATTTGTCTGCAAACTCAGTGAGAGGTATGATAAAGCCAACTTCAGTTTTCAGATGATAAGAGAATATCATTCCTAAATCCATTTCATAAGGTAATTTTGAAAACTGAGGGAGAAGGAAGATGAGGAGACTAGATTATAGATTCCCAGAGGCAAAGTAATATATGGACTGAGCAAAGCCATGGGGAAGGTAGTTCCAATCTAACAGCTATAAGAAGATAAGCCAGATGGATATGATCAAAACTAGTTTTAGCTTTAGGTAATTAAAAAGAAAAAAAAACAGAAAATGGGGAAGATGTTAGAAGAATGCCATTTAAAACCCTTAGAATAAAAATGGGAAGAGCTAGAAATAATGGTAATGATGTTTGGAGGATTGAGGAAATACCGTGTTTCTTGTAACTTTATTTCAGAAGTTCAGCTCAGTAACTTTAATTCAGCAGTAACTTTATTTTAGAAGTAAAATGTAGAAAATACAACCCTTGATCACTGCATGTTGCTGTAGGGTTCAGTGTACGTTTTGATTTGGCTGTTTCCTGTTCTGTGGTATGGATATGACAGTTTGACTCTGATGAAATACATGTTTTGCAACATGCAGGGTGAAAGGGAAGAAGGAGGAGAGATCTGGGTTCCATTTCACTTTTGCAGGCGGAAGATGCAGAGGACTGTAGTAAATTGAATTTAAACATTTTTTTTTGAGAAATTTCCACTTTCCAGGGTGAGGATTCTCACATCCAGGGTGAGGGTTCTACCTAGCATCTCTGAGATTCTTGCCCATACTGCAGCTACTAGTACCAGAAAGAGCAAGGTTTTGAGGACTCCTTCTCTCTGCTTTGGACAGAAAGGATCAGGGAATTAAAAGGGGGAAAAGGCATGAAGCTAGAGTCCTGTTTCAGGCTCAGCTTCCTACTTTGGACTTAGTATACCTTATTTAAGGCAAATTAGAAACTGTTAAAAGAGTATTGCTTGTATTGCAATTTACCAGGATTTATACCACTTATCTTATCACAGCAAAACCTGTGAGCTTGAAAGGAAAAGTGAACAAATTCAAGACTTTTTTTTTTTTCTTTTTTTTTTGACTAGGCAAACAGCAGTTTCCCAGAAAATGTCATGGCAGATCTTCTCACAGTCTGAACTCTTCTTGAATTCTGTAATAAAATGTTTTGGCGGCCTTTTTATTTTTTTGAAACATAGACTGTCTTTTTCTGATGGCTGCATTTCTGGGCAAAAGGTTGCACTGTACATCCCTGCTGACAAGTTTGGCTATAGATTGCTTTTAAAACCTTGTGTTTATAACTCCAAAAACTACAGCACAAATTTATTTTGTAGTTTGGAGTCCTTTGGGATTAGCACTGCAAATTAAAAATGAACACCATCTCCCCCTTCTCGCCCCAGTTATAGCTTCAAATAAAGCAGAGATTTGTATAAAAGACTTAGGTGTTAACATGATTTTACAGAGTGAGATGCATTAAACTTTATTCCAAATAATGTATGTAGTATAAAAAAATCAATAAAATATTCTGAGTGAAATAAGCAGCTGCATTTAAAGAGTTTAAATAAAAAGATGTTTAAAGAGGTTTAAATAAAACAACTGCCAATTAGATGTAGTTATAAAGATTATTCTTTATATTTTATGATAGTAAAATCTTTTAGGCAAAAAAAAAAATTAATAAACGTTGGTAAGACATAAGCACCCCATGAGTATGACTCTCTTTTTTCTAATGTATGTAAAATTAGCTGGCCAAAATTCAGAACATAGGTATAATTATGACTACAGGCTAAAACCATGACTATGTTTGATAAAGGAAGACCAGTAGTAGCTCCCCATTTTAATGGCTTTCTTTATGTACTGCAGTAATCTACATGAGAACTGCAGTGGGCCTTAAAAGTGCTGAATTATGATGCTTGTACTTCTCAATCTGAAATGTCAGTTATGAAAGACTTGTTCCCTTGGGGCAAGCAAAAAGAGTATTAAATTATTTATGAGGAGAAACAAGTATCAGTCACATCCCGTTAGCATGTGTATGCGTGTGTATATGCCCAGATACCAACCCACAGTTGTTACCCAAAGCTTAGGACTTCAATGTGCGAACAGTAAAGGCGCCAACAAATTCAATTTAACTGCCAAGATGATGGAAGAGGATTAGATCTCAGCTAGCTAGTATATTAGTGCAAACCTCCTGTTATTGCTTTTAAAAAGATTCCTCTTACACAGTCTGTCACAGTCTTTTCAAAATATTCTCTGTCTACAAAAACCTGTAAAATGATTTATACTCATGATAAAAGTGGACAAATTCTGTGTTTCAGGTCAGTATTAGCTTGGTGTTTATATATACCTTCTTATGATTTCATATCTTCCCACTTTCTCTTGGCTTAGGTTTAAAAGGCAAATTGTGTGTGACATGGTCCACACTATTGGTCTATGTGCATATATTGCCTGATACCAAGGAGTCTGTGACTGTAGTTCATGGTAGTAGTGCAGCGAATATATCTCATAAATATATGGAAAGGACAGATGAAGTAAAGTATAGTCCTTCTAAAGTATTTAAAGTACCCTCAGTATTTTATCCTGAAAGTATTTTCAGAAGAGCTAAAAATAAACCATTTATGTCATTAGGAGATCAAAGTTGTCACATATATGCTTCAATTAGGAAAGGAAAGAAGGAAAGAAGAATAATTCACATGTGGAAAATCAGTTGATGTTACTCGGTTGTCAAACTTTTACTTAAAATCCCCCATATGTTAAAAAGGTGATGTTTCTGCTTTTGTTTACCTGAGCATGTTACAACTGAGTTACTGAGTTTTGTCTCAAATGCTGATTTTAGCAGCATGTAAAGTTAACAATATTTGTGTGTGTGTGTGTGTGTGTGTGTGTGTGTGTGTGTGTGTGTGTATGTGTGTGTGTGTGTGTTACTGGCCCAATCCTGCATATCAATTATTACAACACTATAACATTATTGTTCCATATATGGTAAATATTTGCATTAATAAGAGAAAAAATACCTATCAGACTGTTCCAAATGACAAGTTTCATGTTTAATAGAATATAAAGCCATCTAGTCAAACACTTGATATATGATGTTCCAGTCCTCATGTTCACAATCTGTTATATCACACATACTAAACATGTGGCACCACCAGTGTCATCATAATATTAAGAGCTAAAGTGTCTCATCTAAGCCTTGTGAAGGAAAACATTACTTAAGTATACCTGCACAAAATTATAAGATGAAAAGTGTATTAATTTAGAAATGCAAACAGAAAAAGAGAGAAGAGCTTTTGCAGTCCTCCTTATTAAAACAACTGATGACTTCTGCTTCTGGAAAATTTTAAAAGGAAAAGAAAATGAGAAACTAAGACTATATGCAGCCTTATGACAGCAAATCATAGAATCATAGAATGCTTAAGATTGGAAGGGATCTGAGAGGTCATCTAGTCCAACTCCCCTGCTCATGCAGGGTCACCTAGAGCACGGGGCACAGGGCTGCGTCCAAGCGGGTTTTAAAGATCTCCAAAGAAGGAGACTCCACAACCTCTCTGGGCAGCCTGTGCCAGGGCTCTGTCACCCTCACTGTCAAGAAGTGTTTTCTCAAGTTCCAGTGGATCTTTTGGTGCCTCAGCTTGTGGCTGTTTCCTCTAGTTCTGTCGCTGTCCACCACTGAAAAGAGTCCGGCCCCCTTCTCCTCACTGCCTCCCTTGAGGTATTTATAGACACTGATCAGGTCCCCCCTCAGCCTTCTCTTCTCCAGGCTGAACAGGCCCAGCTCTCTCAGCCTTTGCTCAGAGGGCAGATGTTCCAGGCCCCTGATCATCCTGGTAGCCCTGTGCTGGACTCTCTCCAGCAGCTCCACATCCCTCTTGTACTGGGGAGCCCAGAACTGGACACAGTACTCCAGGTGTGGCCTTACCAGGGCTGTGTAGAGCGGGACAATCACCTCCCTCGACCTGCTGGAGACGCTCTTCTTAATGCACCCCAGGATCCTGTTGGCCTTCTTCACCACCAGGGCACACTGCTGCCTCATGGTCATCTTGTCATCCACCATGATGCCCAGGTCCCTCTCTGCGGGGCTGCTCTCCAGCTGGTCCACCCCTAATCTGTACTGGTGTCCAGAGTTATTCCTCCCCAAGTGCAGGACCCTGCACTTGCCCGTGTTGAACTTCATGGGATTTCTCACTGCCAAATCGTCCAGTCTTTCCAGGTCCCTGTGGATGGCAGCACAGCCCTCAGGACTATCAGCTACTCCTCCCAGTTTGGTATCATCAGCAAACTTGCTGAGGGAGCACTCCAGCCCTTCATCCAGGTCATTAATGAATAAGTTGAACAGGACTGGACTGAGGGCCGACCCCCCGGGGGAGACCGCTAACTACAGGCCTCCAACTGAACTCCGCGCCACTGACTACCACTCTCTGCACCCTGCCACTGAGCCGATTAATTAAATGAAGAAGAAATGAAAACCTTAAAGGAAGGAAAAAAAAAATCTACACACACATCTGGCCCTCATGCCTTGTTTAAAATATGATAATAGTGTGAGAAACTCTTACAGCAGAATCATTCTGATACACATTTAGTGTGAAGACTTGGAAAGGAGTACCAATATGCATTAGGATGAAAAAAGTAATTTTAGGAGAATTTTAGGAAGGTAGTACTGAAAGCATTTGGAGAGGATAATAATGTTTAAATGAAATAGCTTTTATGATGCAAATTAGCTGGCATGAATGTATTTCTTGTCATTCAGGGTATGTTTTTAATAAATAGAAATGCTGTTTCAGCCCAGGCTATCTGAAAAGAACAAACCTCCCGTTACAGTTTAGATTTCTAGTTTGCTTCAGTTAACCTGCAGTTAACCTGACTGGGAACGCACAAGAGACTGTATGGCAGAAAATTTTGAGATAAGGCTAAGAGTATATTTTCATTCAAACACTATTGATAGAATGTTCAACATGTCCTTTTCTAAAAAGACACAAGTCTAATATATGTAAAGTGTTCCAAAATAGTTTTATTTATCAGTCTAAGGGCAGACCTTGCATCTTTCCTGCTTGTACGTTTTTGCTCTAGCAGCTTTTGCTTCCAGGAAATTGGGAGTTTCTAGTGGTCTTTATCATCTATTCCTGCTTGTAGGGTGCTTTAACTGTTCTTTATTCAGCTGACTACTGACCAGTGAGTTTCAAGCCGCATCCAGCTGGTGCTAGGCAGAGACTTATAGGGTTTCCAAGCCTGGAGGGCTGATCCCAGGAACAGATGTGGTATCTCATCCAGGAGAAGGCTGAGAAGGATCTACCATCTCTTCATGGAAGACAGGCAAGGAAGATGAGAAGGTGGCTGCCCTCTGTGCAAAGAAGCAGGTCAGATATACCGAGCTCTTATGCAATGTGTGATGGTGTGGTTGAGAGCTTGTGGGTCAGGATCTGAGGAAGTCTGTGTGTGTGACAAAACTGTGGGAAAGAGTCACAGATACATGGCAAAGAAATAGGGATCCCAAAATCTGGTGCTCACGAGGAACCTGAACCTCCCTGATACCTGCTATAAGCACAGCAAGATGCAAGCAATCAAGGAGGTTTTGGTAAGTCAGGGTCTTGGTCTTGGTACGGTTACTGGGAATTCAGGGTCTTGGTCTTGTTACAGTTACTGGTTGGATCAGTCAGGGGTAAACATAGGTGCAGGTACTGTTCATTGGAAAGGAGGTGCTGTTTGGGGGATGTGGTAATGAATTACAACTTTGGCTGTAGTGGCCAAAATTGTGAAGTTTAAGACCATGAGGGGAGTGAGGAGGTGAGTACTGTTGCTCCACCTCCAGTGAGCAGATAGCAGCTTACTTGAGATCCTATGAGGAGCAGCTCTGAATGGTAAAGGAACTGAGGGAAGTTGACAGGGCTTTCAGGGCAGTACTCTGCAAGCACAGGAATGGTGCATCCGAATACTCAGGAAGACAGGTAAATGTAGCAGGAGATTAGTTAATGAAGGCTGAACAGAGAACTCATGATGGAGCTCCAAGGCCAAAAGGCAGCCTACAGGAGATGGAAGCACGGACAGACTAAAAAGAAAAAATGGAAAATATTCTGAAGCTGTCTTCCACATATTCTAAGTTATGCCGATACAGTTTGAATAGATGGATAAGTAGATAGATTTAATAGTAGTAGTGATAGTAATAGTAATAGTAATAGTAATAGTAATAGTAATAGTAATAGTAATAGTAATAGTAATAGTGAAGTGAAAACAAACAAAACCCACCACCAACAAAAGTGGTTTCCTGGCAGCTGGTCTCTGGGGTAGTGATTTATGGTCACTATGGAAGGATCACTAACAACTTCATCACAGAGATTTGCAGTGGGACTTGACTTGTTTTACATTTTCACCAGGACGATTAAGGGACTGGGTAGCTGTCATATGAGCAGAGGTTGAGAGAGCTGGGATTTTTTATCCTGGAGAAAACGAGGGTCAAGTTGAGAGG